TGGGGTGCTGCGGGTGCCTGCCGATGGTGCCGCACAGCCCGCAGATCACCTCCCGGTCGGCCTCGCAGAAGAGGCTGAGGGGGTTGCGGTGGGTGGGGCAGGACTCCGGGGAGGGCTCTGCCTCCCCCCAGCTCTGCAGGGCCTCGATGACGCGGGCCAGCGTGACGTTGGGCGGCGAGGCCCCGCGGTCCACGCTCTGGCGGCACACGGGGCACAGGAACCGCCCCGCCGGCTCTCCCGAGAGAGACCCCACGCAGGACTTGCAGTAGGAATGCCCACACTGCAGCATCAGGGGCTCCTTGAACACCTCCAGGCAGATGGGACAGAGGAGCTGGTCCTCCAGCTCGTTGATGCTCATCTTCCGAGCCATCCTGCCAGCTTCCCACGGGAATCACGGGTGGGAGACCAGTCCTGTTGCAAGAGCAAGAGGGCAGAGAGGAGCAACCTGCTCTAGTTGCAGATGACTCTATGACTCTACGTCCCTGCTCAGTGCAGCGGGCGGCTGGAGTAGATGAGCTGTAAAGGTCCCTTCCCACCCAAATGAGTCTATGATTCTAGGACATCTGGAGAGGGTTTGGCGTGAGTTCAAGAAATGCATGTAAGCAAAAGCAGAAGGAAACCACAAAATGCATGTTTATGTAGGAGACAGGGCCAACCAGCACGCAGTAAACACCTGATTCGAGGGACAGGAGGGAAGCTGAGGCACAGCTCCCACAGCTCACCCCCTTGAAACACGCTGTGGTCTCTGGTCCCTGCAGAGCTCCACGCCCTGGGCCAGCACCCCCAAGAGCCAGGAGCCCAAACCTCAGCCTCTGCCAGCCCTGGGGCTGCCTGTGGGCAGCCTCCCACAGCTATGAGGTTCACACAGCATCACCTCCCCTCCTGCTCAGATATAACCACCAAGATCCTGGGCAAGTCACAGTCGTGGCCTGATGTCAAAGGAAATCAACCTGAGGTCAAAGCCTCGGTCATTTCCCTGGGGAAAGGGGAGCCTGTGACCCGACCACGACTTTTATCAGACATCGCTACAGGAGCTTGGTGTATCCAGGCAAGCTCAGGCATCAGCCTGTGACCCACGGGACCCTGTATGGAGGAACCAGCTTCTGCTGCTCCCTCTGCTCACACAGAAACACCTCCCAGAGACCCGGATCACCCACCTGCCACAGCACTCAGGAGCTCTGCACGGCTTCCTCCCGGCCCCAGCTCCGCTCTGAGCCCGGCGGCGGCGCTCAGCGTCTCCCGATGGAGCTGTGGATTTTGTCTCGGCCAGAGGGAGGGTGAGGCAGGCGGTGGGATGGGCAGCAGAGCCTCTCCCCTCCTGCAGCCTGCCCCGGGGAGCCCAGGCAGCCTCTGGTCCCGCTGCCCTGCCCCGAGGACGGCCTCACCCCCAGCGAAGGGCTGCCCGGGCACGCCTCACATGACGGCGGGAGCGGGACCCTTGATAAGGGCTTCTGCCTCCCTGAGCAGCCAGTCTGCTCCAGCCCCGCTGGGCTTTCACCCATCCACACCCCTCGGGGCGCTGGGAATGTTCTCAGCAGAACGCTTGCTTGTCAGCTAAAGCTCCTCTTTGGTCAAAATGTGGGGTTGCTGTTGGGTTTTGAGAAACTTTTGTTCTTTTGGGAAACCAGAGGGAAGCTCAAAGCGTTGTTCCTTCACTGTGGGGCTAGGCGCACGTGTGTGTGGCTTTGTCCACAAAATAGCAAAACATGGTTTCTTGTAGAATTCTCCTTGGTCTGGGGATGTGTTTGGCGCATGGCCATCCTGGAAGGTTCCCTCAGCCAGAAGCATCCAGCTTTGGGGCAACCATCCAGAGGCCATGGAGCGGAGGAAGCAGAGGCAGAGTTTAAAGGATTAGCCCAGGGCTCTCACCTCAGCCTCATGCTGAAGGCAACGGGTCTTTGGGCTAGTAAACCAGGACAGTGCTGCACCCATTCCCAGGGGGGCTAGCGGGTGAGGAGAGGCCCTGGAAACACCCCTTCTTCCAAGGGACCTTTCCTGAAGCCTGAAGCCATGAGAGCACCCATGCCAAGGTCCCCCCGTGTTGTCCCAAGTCTGGGCTCTTAGGAGAGGCCCTGGAGACACCCCTCCTTCCAAGGGACCTTTCCTGAAGCCATGAGAGCACCCATGCCAAGGTCCCCCCGTGTTGTCCCAAGTCTGGGCTCTTTACCTGGTGTGCAAAGAGCCAAAACACACACCGGCCTGAGGCAGTTCTGTGTCCAGGTCTGCACAAAGCCAGGAGCTGGGTGATGTCCCACAGAGCTCGCTCAGCTCTGCACATAAACTGCGGTGGATTTATTCCATCACATGATTGACAGAAACCCACCCAAATTTCCACTTATTGTTTAGTAATTAACACTCATTGGCTCTTGGCTAGCTGTGTTTAAATCAGCACCTGTGCTCCTCGGGGGTGTGGAGGGGGAAGTGTGAATCTGCCTGGTCCCTGGTTGAGGCAGTGGTTGCCACCTCGCTCTGCTGCTCTGCCCCTTCCCCAGTCCCGGCTCCTCCGGGCACGATTCTCATCCCGTGGCCGTCGCTAAACCCGGAGGTTCCTCCTCAGCCCCTCTCACCTCCCGGGCTTTACCAGTCGGATGGGAACCAGCCCATCTGAGCCAAGTTTCTGAGCCGAGTCATTATTTACAGGTTTTATCACCGTCCGATCCATTTCCCGGGCTGTT